AATTGATATAATATCATATTTATCTGAATAAAGCTAAGTGCCGGGGACCTAAGTGGTCACCTTAATATTAAAAAAAAAAATTAAAAAAATCAGGTGATTAATATAAATATTACAGTATCAGAGTTTATAAGACTACATATTGATATACATATCTCTGAATACAGAAATATGAAACTTCAAACTATTGTTAACAAATTGTTGAAAAAATTTAAAAGGCTTACTGGTTTGAAAAATTGCCAAATATTTAAGTATTAGCAAGTTCTTGAGTTTCTTAGCACTTTCAAAGATATTAAAAACTTTCTATCACTTTCAAGAAGCCATGTTTACTAAACATGAATGATATAAAATATCTTAAAACTTTAACAACTCAACGATTTGGAGTGAAGAAAAAAATAAAATAAATAATAATTCTATTTAAAAACACAGAGGGTCTGGTACAATATCTGCATATTTTTACCAAGCAGACATGTTCCAAGAAATAGATCACTACCTCCTGATTATAATGTTGAATTAGTGATTATTCCAGAGAATAAGGATACAAGAGCAATAAAACTGACTACACAGTATGATATAGTTCAAGTATCCAATCCAACAACTACAAGATCTAGTATTTATTTATGACAAACATCTATTTTTCTTGTTAGGCAGTGTTCTACCAGGAGTAGTGATTTATAACCCAGTGAAATTGGATAAGTACTACCTTCAAAGTTTTTCTTTTTTTTTCTTGTTGTTTTAAGTTTTTTCAAAAATTTTTTTTTTTTGTTTTTTTGCAGGTAGTGCTTTACCGGGAGTGATTAAAGAGAGTCAGGAACAGTAATCTAGAACCCGGTGAGAAATTGGATGATAAGTACTATCTTTGAAGTTTTCTTTTTTTTCTTGTTAGATGATGCTTTGCCTGGAGTGATAAAAAAGAGTTGAGAATGGTGATTTGGAACCCGGTGGGAAATTGGATGATAAATACTATCTTCAAAGTTTTTCTTTTTTTTTTTTTGTTATGAGTTTTTTCAATAAATCTTTTTTTTTTTTTTTTGTGGATAGTGCTTCGCCAGGAGTGGTTAAAGAAAGCTAGAAATGGTAATTTGGAACCTGAAGAATCGAGATTTTGACTGAAAAGGAACTAGAACTGGAATGAATATAAGCACCAGTTCATAGTTTTGTTTCTTTTTATTTTTTTTTTCATTCTTTTGACTAATATTCTTTATTTTGTAGTATTGCTTTATTGAAGATTATTAAAATTTGAATGCTATAACCTCAACTTTGGGTCAACAAAAAAATGAAAGGTGTCAATATAAAGTCACCCTGTAGTGATTGTAGTTGACAGTTGGATTTTTATAAGGGTTGAAATGTAGTAAATTTGTAAATGTACAAAAATTATTTGGTTTTTTTTAATCAATAAATAAAAATCAGTTATTTTTATTATTACTACAAGTGTATGATATCTATTTGAAATTATTACTGATATATCAATTGATATTATAGCCATTATTTATCAATACAAATCTGCTTGCAAATTTTGTTGATGCCTCATAATGTAAAAGATGAATATAAAATTATTGATTAAATTACATATTTAAAATGCTAAATCGAGATAATATAATACGTGAATATATAAGCATTTATTAATTGTCCAGAGCATAGCGAAGGACTTGCATAGTGATTAAAATGTTCGGATAATCTTTACGTAATATATTTGTTAAATTATGATTGGGTAACACTCTAATACTAGACTTACTTTGATTGAAATATCTGATATGCTTCACATGATATTTTTGTTAAACTATGATTGGGTAAAACTCTAATTCTAGACTTTATAATTTGCTCCAGATATTAACAGGCAGGCAGCCCCTGTTAACCTTTTAATAGTATAAAAAAAAACTTGATTAATCCAATAAATTATTCATTCAAATATTTACTATTTAATTTTATTTTGAATTACTGTATAGTATAAAGAATTTTTATTCATGTTTTACATTGGAATAGAATCTTGGTAGATTTAGTTAATATAAGTTGTTTCTAAATATATTTTTGAAATAAATTCAAGTTGTAAAGTATTTTAAATTAACTTAGCATATATGAATTTATGAAATACTCCAATTTGTGAATAAATACGTGAAGATAGATACAGAGATAGGCTAGATACATTTCTATCAACATGGAGATTGAAACCTTTAACTGTTTAAAAATTGCTTTATAGTTCTGGGCAGAATTATGTTAGTCGTGGGCCAGAATTAGTTTAATATTAGGCAAAATAAATGATTAAGAAAAATTTTAGGCAGTTCCAATCTCTATAATTAAATTCATTGCTCATCAAACTTGTTTGTTCTGCAAAAGAATAATTAAAAAGCCCTTTATCTGAGTTTTTAAAAAAGAAATCACGTGATTGACCTGAAGCTTTTGAGAGAAAGGATTCTTGAAACACATATAACAATTCATTATCTTGTTGCGAAGCACTGATAGAAGTTCTATATCTGTAGGTGTTAGAAGATCATCAACTGGTTTATCAGTGAAGGAAAGGGCTTTTTGTCTTTTTAGAAGAGAGATAGTTATTCTTTCAGTTAATCGATCTGACTCTTTAGCATCTAAAATTCGATATCTACAAAATAACAATAACAGTTACATAATATCATTAACAAATAAATATTATCTATCATTTACCTTTGTTTGACTTGGATAGAACTTGTGCAGATTTAGACCCTTGAGACACAGATGATGTTCTGGTTGACTTGGAACCTTTAATATTCGATGATGTTTTGTTTGATGCTAATAAATTTAATAAAATGAAATAATCTTGTCAATAATAATAGTATATAGTAATAATAATAATATTATTATTATTAATCGAAGATATTACTATTACACAACATCATTCTGAAAATGGATTGACCAGAAGCTGGTTCCATCCAATTTGTCTCAATAAGGTTAGCTTTTTCTTTATATTTTTTCCTTTGCCACTCATAAATATAGAATTTTTAAAAAATTATTGTTGTGATTATATTAGTAACAAATTGGACCTTGTTCAAATAATGAGCATGAATAGTTGCACTAGTAAAAGAATTAAAGGTAAATATCTCTGATTTTTATTAAAGAAAAGCCACTGAATTTTAATTTTATTAATTTTGCTTTGCTTTATAGTCATTTTAACTTCATATTATTGCATCATAAATTTATCTCTAACTAGATTAATACATAATTATACTTGCTGGCCAAACCCGGACAAATCCCAAACCCCTAAAAAATAATTGCTATTTATAAAAAATTAAATCAAATA